GGTGGCCGGGGTCAGGTGCCAGCAAAGGCGCCGAGTCCCAGGGCCGCCTCGCTGGCAGCGTGTCCCGCGCCCGGGCGGCTGGTGACAAACGGGCCCGAGCTGCCCCCGCACATCGCTCCGGCTGCACCACCCGCCGCGGGGGAGCCACCGCGGCCCTGGCCTCTCCTGGGGGGGGCACGGCACAGCCGGGGGCCACGGCAGCGTCCCGGGTGGCCGTGGGCTGTGGGGTGTGGCCCGCGGCGTGCCACGAGATGGCACTGCTGTGGCACGCTCCACGCTGCGAGCCAGGGGCCAGGCCCGCACCGCTGCGTCCAGCCACGGCAGGGATGGCCCTGGGCTGCGGCAGTGTCCGGCCATGGCAGGGAGGTGCAGGGTGTACAGGTGTTTCCGCCCACCTTGCCAAACCAAAAATATCAGTTATGATGGTACCAGGTTGTGTAAATGAGGCCTGCAAAGGGGAATGTTTGTGACCGGCTGCTTTCTGTGCAGGATGAGCATGGTCATGTTTGTGTTAATGTTGGTTTGGGGGGGGCTCCTTCCCGGGACAGTTACCAACGCAGGGTCGGGCAGTGCCAGCAGGGTCACCCAGCATGGCCCTGCCTGGGACAGGGGGACGAGAGCACAGCTCAGGCTGCTGCCAGCCCCAGCTCTTACCTCATGTTTTCTGCTGGCCATTGGGCACGGGCCGGGGAGCGGGGCTGTGTGGCTGCAGGGCTGCATAGCCACATGGCCACGCACTGTGGCCCGGGCTGCCGCCAGGCAGTGCCCCATGGTTCCCTCTGTCTCTCCCCACAGTACGACTACAGCTTCCGGACGGAGCAGAGCGCGGCCGCCCGCCTGCCGCCCAGCCCCACGCGCTGCCCTCCGCTCCCGCTGTCCTGAGAGGGGCCGCGGCGCGGGAGCAGGCGTGTGCCTGATACTACTGAGTGGGACGCGGCGCCGGGGGCCCTCCCCACAGACCTGTGCTCCGCCGGCCATGCCACCCGCCCTGCGCTGCACCGCCTCCTCCTGCACACCCCGCTCCACGCCTCGGGACTGCGCACCCCTTGGCAGCTGCCCCCACCCCCCTCGCTGCTGCGGCCACCTCTCCAAGTGAGTACGTGACTGAGACCCTGATGGCAGCCCCTCAGTGTCCCCACTTGGTAACCCCTGCTGCAGGACAGTCACAAAGACCAGAGCTGTCACAAACTGCTGCCAACAGCAAGCCCTGAGCTCACCGACCATCGAGAAATGCCCAGCAGCAAGCCCTAAAAGTAAGGAAGAGCAAAAGATAGAGTGGGTTTATCCACCAGCCCCCATGCATCCTGCCCGAGCTGGTGTGGAGCTGCCGGTGGGGTCTCTGTGCCCTGTGGCGTGATGGCCTCTCCTCAAGCCGCGGCGGACACCGCGCCTGCCTCTGCCGAGGCCCGGGCACAGAGCAGCTCCACCGTGGCCGGGCTCCCCGCCGGCTGCCATCCCTTGTTTCTGCTGTCAGGGCCAGGGCTGCTCGCTCAGACCTGCCGGGGCCTCCCTGTGCTTGGGCACTGCCAGGGGGAGAGCACAGGGAGCACCAGCTGCACTGGGTTCCTGCACAGGGTGTCCCTGTGCCCCTCGGCACCCAGAGCGACAAACGGCCCCTGTTTCCCTGCGGGCTGGACGCCGGCAGAGCCAGGGCCCTGCTGACAAGGGGGATGCTGTCCCCTGCCCTCGCTGCGGGCACTGTCCCAGTGTTTGCCCCGCTGGCTGCTAAAACAGGAGATGTGCCCGTTCCTTCCTGCGCTGCCGGGGAAGCGCTGGACTCTGACGTGGCGCAGGAGGAGAGCGGGATGCATTAAACCCTGACCTCCCCCTCCCCATGATCACTGACCTTCGCTCGCTCCCGAGCCAAATGCATGTCTTGGAGAAGTCTGTTGCTGTAATAAGTTATTTAGAAGTGCCCATCTGACTCCATGCTGCTCTTTCAATCTCTGCTGTAGAACAAAGCTACATCATGGCAGCAAAATGGCAAATTTTAAGTAAGTGTTAAAACATACAACTTTTTATATTGTAAAATACTGATTACCTAACCCTATTGAAATGCAATTGCCATAGTAACAAATACCAGTATTGGCGCTCTCAGTCTGGGTCCTACGAGCGCCCTGACCTGCTTTGCACTGCTTTTGATTGATCTTGCGTTTTCTAGCTGGACAGAATGGTGACTAACAGTAGGTTTTGTACTGTCAGCTTGTATTTTTTATTTGTATATATGTAAAATATTTCTTGTCCAAAGATCCATTTCTGGTCTTAAAACATCATAGCATATTCCTGGGAAAATGAGCACAAAACACCGTAACATTCAGGACAGACTGATTCCAAGTCTTTGCTTCAACTTCTTCCAGTCGGGTAAATCATTTGCTAGGGCTGCCTCTGGAAAGCAAGGCTGTGCATTGGGAAAGCAGAAGCTGATTTGGTTGCAGGTGTGTTGTATTTGGGCAAGAGAATTAAAGCTCTGCCGTTTGCACCAGCTCTGGAGGTTTGGGTGACCCCCTGGAAGTGCTCGTTTACTTGGAGGTTGCAGCACCATTTGTAGTTGTTATTTATCCTGCAGGAAAGCAAAGCCAGACCTCGCTGCCAAGGCTCACAAAGGCGAGATTGATGATGCCGACATCGACAAATGAACACTCCGTGGCAGCCTGGTCATTCGGCTCAGGTTCACTTGAAGTTCAAATCCACTCCACGCTGCAGTTCTGTGCCCATCTCATCCATCTCTTGTCTTTCTGGTTTTCTGCTTGTCATTTGTTGTGTGGTTTCCTGTGGCACCCTTCTCCCGTGGCATCCTTCTCCCGCGGCTCAGTGGACACTGCAGGTAGGACACTGCTGTATGCAGCGGTGCCTCCTCGTCGCTCGGGGATGAAGGGGCTGCAGAGACCCGACCCTCGTCCAGTGGGGCACTCCTGGATATGTCTCAGAAAAATGGGCATGTCTAGCTTCGAGTCCCCTCCTGCGAGGTTTAGCTTAGAGGGCATCAGTAGCTAAAATTGGTGCTTTAATATTTCTAGCAAACAGTCGCGTTTGCTCAGCCTTCTTGGAGAGAGTGATCAGCTTTCTCTTCAGTGACCTACAAGAAACACTGGACGGTTCAAAATGCTGAAGCTGGGACAGCATCTAAGAAATCTTTGGGATATATTTGTATAGTTGGTTCTTACTCTTCCCCTTCTGACGCTGGCCTGGCCAGGCTGCTGCAGGGCTGAACCCCAGAGAAACTGGAGGTCAGATGGATGCTCACAGCGTGTCTCTGCACGGCAGGAATACCCTGTGCTGAACAGCACAGACACAGTTCTCATGGCACAGAGGAGATCGAGGTGTTGGGAGCAGGAGCTGCAGGTGCTGGGAGCCAGCTGAGCTCAGAGCCACTGCCGAAAGGCTGGAGAACTGGGCATTCCCCTGGGGGAGAGGGCTCGGAGCAGCACTCGGAAGCACAGCGAGACCCTGTGTGGGGGGGCTGACTGGGGGTGTCCTCTTCTCAGTCCACCAATTATTGGAAGCTTCTTTATTGCACCTCTGAATTCCCAAGATCTTGGGCATCAGGTCAGCATTTCCACAGGCAGGTTTTATCCGCTCTTCCGTAACTTCTGTGCTCACAGAAGCTCGTTGCAAGGCTGGTCCTTGCATCCGTGCATCAGGTCCTCCCCACTGGCCTGTGCCACAGCAGGTACCAGCATCTCTGCATCTCCCTCCCTCCCTGTCCAAAAGGCCACTGTGGCAAGATTGGCCTGGGCAGTAAATATTCCAGGAGACTGATGTTGGTGTCTGGCTGCAGAGGAGCCTTGTGGAGCGTGAGGGGAGGGGATGAGTCAATGGAAAGCAACAGAAGCAGGTTTGCAGAGCTTTGCCAGATGTGCTTGGCTGCCTTGCCTCTATTTCTAGGACAAAACTAGTCTCTAGGTAGCTCAATCTTGTGGCTGATGGAGAAATTAGTTTGCCAAATTATCATATGTCTGCAACAGAGACAGAAAAGCAGCAGTGAGGGGTTTGCTTACTGTAAAATACACCTTCTGATGTGAATTAGTAGCGACGCGCTGCCTCCTGGATTTCTCACGGCACAAGCAGGTCGCTTCCGAGGTGACCCGTGGGCCATTCAGGCCAGGCGGTGCTGTCTGATGTGTTAATGGTGGAAAGGCAAGAAATTAGTCCAGAAAATAATGTAGAGTGTGAACTTTGTGGTAAAATTCAAGTGTGGACAGACGTAGCTGGTGTCTTCCCTGTGGGAGCATCTCTTAGCTGTAGTCACGTAGGAATAACCTTTGTCAAACTCCTCTCCTCTGACTGTCCCTGTGTTTGCCGCGGTGTTGTTGGGGAGGATCCCCGGAGCCCCCCGTGTAGTAGAGGTTGTTGATAGTCTGTAGCTTTGGGCTTGTTTGGTTTCACACCCGCCCCTGTCCCCCCTGGTTTCCCAAGCTCCCCAGCCTGACCCCGCGGGGCCGGGCAGAGCCCTGCCCTGGGCATGGTGCTGGGCCCTCACAACCTCCCTGGGGAGGGAGAACAGGGTGCAGCGCCTTCAGAGCCGTCCCACGGGTCCCACGTTGGCCTTCACCCCCCACTGCCCTGGGGTGACACAGGGTCTGTCCCCAGACCTGCCCCCCGGCCGCTCTCCAGCCCCACAGCCCGGCTGGGCCGCAGCAGGGACGTCCCGCAGGCAGCTCACCCGGACCCGCTCCCGAGGGGCACGCGCGTCCCGCTGCCCTGGTAATTACCTCAGCCTCGGAGCCCTGACGAACAGACGGACCCTCTCCCGGCGGCCGTGTCACCCTGAGCCCCCCAACAGCCTGGCAGCGGGGAGGGGGCTCCCCCGCTCCCCAAACAGCTCACTGAGGTGCTGCTCAACTCTCAGTACAGGGAAACCAAACAGTTTGGATGTTCCTGTCGTTTATTGTGAAATCGTTTCCTAACAGCAACGGTTTTAAATGTCATCATGCAAATGGAAGAGAGAAACCTTTTATGCAGTTGCGAAATGTTTTTCTAAGATGCTATGCATTTTGTTGGGTTATTGAAAGTGAATTTACTGTGCATTAATCTTATGAATGTTACTGTTTTATATTTATTTTAGATGGCCCTCCTGTATTTTACAAAGGGAAGTTTCATTGTGTGATAACTTAGTCTGTATTCTTAATATAATTTGTTAAATAAAACTTGTTTTAATCAGTTTATTCTATGTGCTTTTAGTTTTCAATGTGGAGTTTGAGAAGTTTGAAACGCTGCAGCTCTGACTTGCAGGGGTGGAAAAGAGCCCTTGGGACCAGCCGCTCTTTCCCGCTGCGCCGTCGTTGCATTGAGTCCTTCAGAGCCCAAACCTGGATGCTTTGGGAGGGGTTAAAACCATCCGGATTGTTCTGGAGGGAGCCGCCCTGCAGCAGTTGTAGCCGTGGCACCTGGTGTGGTTGCAGGTGTGTGTGGTGCTGGGGGCTGGTGGAGGAGGAAGGCCAGTGGTCACGGTCAGCCTGACACTCTCTGGGGGTGTTCCTACGGTGTCCTCAGAAGGGACCCTCTCAGGTGGGGAGAGGCTAACCCTAACAACCTCTGGTGGTGTTCCTACGGTGTCCTCTCAGGTGGGGAGAGGCTAACCCTAACACAGAAAATTGTTATTTTTTTGGCTAAATTATTCTGAACTTGACTCAAGCTGGTGGTGCGCAGTACGACCTCTGGCATCTTCTCTCACCCCAGCCAATATTTCTGTCTCACTTATTTTTAGTGGTCTTTGAATTGAAGGAGATTAATACCCCAGTTCCTGACATTCTCTTCAGGCACTTGTTTTTATAACCTCCTTCAGAAAGCGAGTACCTCTGTTCCACCAAAAACTAAGAAACTGCATCTTGGAGCTGCTGTGGGAGCCGTCACTGGCACCTGATTGAATGTCCCGGCCGGGGAGGCGGCGCGGGGGGGACATAAACCAGAGCGGGCCCGTCCCACACCCACTGGCATCTCCCCGGGTCGGCGTGCGATGGCCAGGGACAGGAGCTGCCTCGGAGCCATTGCTGGGCAGGGTGGTGCCTGCCAACACCGAAGCCACCTCTGCCTAATTAGCTGTTACCACCGACGTGGGCTCTGGTCCATGGCACGGGAATCTGCTGCTTGGAAATAGGGCTGAACTGCCAGGTAGGACTCTCAACCCCTGCCCAAACAGCATTTGTTATGAAAACATAAACCTCTGTCCATTGAAGCAATTTTCCCCCCTCAGCTAGAACAATACTCTCTGATATTTCAGTTTCTTCTCCTGCATTTGTCCCTTGTTGGACAAGCTAAATTTAGGTTTGCCTGCAAAGGGGTTTTTGATGCCAAGCGAGGGCTCAGCTGGTGCCAAGAGGGGCCGTCGCCCTGTGCAGGGTCCCATCTGGTGCTGGTGCCCCAGCGCAGGGTCAGTTGACAGCACCGACCGCGTGGGCCATCTCCTCCTCCAGGCACGTGGTGTCCCCTCCATACGGCCCCTCTGTCCGGCTCCTCCGTCCCAGGTTCCCGTGGGGCCGCGGGGACGGACCCTCCCGGGGCTGTGGGTGAGACCGGAGCTGGTTACATCGTCCGTCATCCAGGGAGTTTGTTTTCTAAGGAACATTTCTAATTTCTCCCGCTCTGCTCCGTGCTCCCGGCACCAGGAGCAGCCGTTTGTCTCGGTGAGGCCTCTCCTGGCCATTCCTGCTCCACAGAAATCCTCTTCCCGTCACGGGGGAGCAGCAGGGGCCAGGGCTGGAAGGAGCCGGCCGCGGTCCCTGCGGAGCGGGACGGTCGCGCTGAGCTTTGTGAGCCTCTGCCTTTGGTGGTGTTTGTTTTCTTTTCTCCTCTCCCTCCTACAGCTTTAAAAATTAACTTGCCTGGGGAGTTTCCCAAACCCTTTTCCTTTCTCTGAAGTGATGGATAAGCCATGTAACTGATTGTCATGGCCCTGGAGAGGATAAACATCTTCTGCAGTTTAAAATAAAAGCTCCTCACTTCTTGGTTAATAAGTGTTGAAAGAAGCATAAATAGCAATAACACAGGATTTCCATGACTAACAAGATGACCACATCAGTGAATGTTGTTTGGGGTTAAAAATGACTCAGCTTTTGCCTCCCCAGGGTAAGATGTTTTATCCCAGTGCAGGAAAAGCTGCCAACAGCACTTTGAAGGTCTGGCAAAGGCGGCCCGGCCGGGATTGGGAACTGGGAAGTGTTTGAATAGTGGTTAAAAAAAACCCTCCCAAACTCCGCTCCATGTGTGCGGATCTCTCCAAGATAAAGGAGCCCACAGCTTTATCCAGCTTGTGCTGACTCTTTTCTTTTCAAAATCCTTTTCAGATGTTTTCACTTTTCTGCTTGCTTTGTTGAAAGATGTAAAAATTTAAGACAACCACAAAATAAACATTTCAAAACTTTCTATTCCGAAAATTAGTGACATTTTCAAAATCCCTTGAATTCCATTTCTGCACTATCAGAAACAAAGATCTTTGGGGTTTTTTTGACTGACAAATTTTCTGGGCAGGGTTTTTGTTTATCAATAACCTTTCTTTTATTTTCCAATGAAAATAGATTTATTATTCAGTAGAAACACTAGATAAGTAGATGTCTTGTCAAAATAAAGCAGGTTTTCTTTATTAGAGTGAAATAGTAATGAACTCATCTGCTTCCAATATTTATAAAGAGTAGGGAAGGCCATTAATTCTACTGCTTGTGAATAAAACCATCTGTGATTTCTTTCCATTTGATGTGTTTTGGTTTTAATATACATTTTTCACAAATAAGTGCAGGGATTTTTTGTGAAAATGTCACATTCAGAATCTCATAAAGAAGGAACGCAAAGAGGGGGAAACGAAATGTTTTGTTAGCTAAGTAATTTCTCACCTTGCACAGAGAATAAAATTCATGCCAACTTTAACACATTAGGCGACAGAATTACATGTTCAGCTCTAATGCAATCCATGACATGTAACAAGGCAAATAGAGTATGTTTGGAAGTTTGTTTTCCTTTGGGAATCACACAGTACATTTAACGTAATCTGTCCTGACACTTGAATTATAACATTATGAGCTTCTTCAGGGAAGCAAAACGGTAGATACCTCTTTTTAAAGCAAAGCAGAAGTTAATAAAACGGGCGACGTGTCAAGGAGAAAAAGCCCGATCAAACCGTAGTGCAATTCTCCGGAGGAAACGCATTCTAGGCTGGGGTTTTTCCACCAGAAACGCTGAAAGTCTCATGACATACTTCTACGGAGGGTGAAATTTGACCTCTAGAATCTTGCTCGATTAAACCAAAAACTGCGAGAATACCCCAAGTGGGACCACTTTGTAGTTTGACTTGTGAGTGTTGGATCTTAAATTAAACCGAGTATTCATCCAGCTGCTCTGCCAGATTTTATTTTACAGCCTTCCCACCGGCTCCTGCGCCGGGGCCCAGCCCGGCCCAACGCTCCCCAGCCCGTTCCTGCCCGCGGAGCGGGGCGCGCTGAGCCCCCTCCCCAGCACGGGCTGCTGATAGAAACCCTCCAAACCGAGCTCCGGGTAATCCTCTCGGAGGGGCTCTTACGGGAACAGGGCTTCACATGCTGTACGCTCAGCTGAGTGTATCTCACAGAGGTTAGTGAAAATTACAGACTTTAAGGCCCCAATTTAACATCCATCGTTCAGCAGGAGTGATGCAGATCCTTGGGAGTTCTTCCAAAACAAACATGAGGGAGTGAAGAAACCTGAAATAAATAACCTTGGGGTACGTCCTCGCCCGAAGTCCAGAACTCCCTGTGCTTCGGAGAGGGCTGAGGGCTGTCCCAGGGAGGGAGAGCCGGTGCCAGGCGCCTTCGCACACGGGCGGAGTGGGGACCCACCAGCCGCGCTGCCCGGGGCTGCCGCTGCTCTGCTGCCACCGCTGCCACCACCGCTGCTGCCACCACCACCGCTGCTGCCACCGCTGCCACCACCGCCCCGTGCTCCCCGTGGTGGTGGCAGTGGGACACATTTGTCCCCAGTAGCAGCCCAGTGAGGCTTCGAGAGCGTGAGCCCTGCAGGAAGGAGAAGCCATCGGTTTGGGCAAGTGCAGCATCAATTCAAGAAAATACGTTAAATCATCGTAAGCAGAAATTCACTGTTGGTTGTCACGGAAAAAAATGGCAAACTGGTTGCTTCTGCAGCCATTTGGGAAATGGAGGAGGGAAAATGGAGGAGGGAGGGTAGAGACAGGAGGACTGTGCCCCGGGTCCCAGTGCTCCCCGCGGCAGCAGAGCCCCCCGGCCGGCAGCGGCGGTGCCTGGCTCGGGGTCCCCGCTCCCCGGCATCGCCCGGGGCTGCCGGGCCCTCGCTGGGCAGAGACAGAGGCCGGGAGGAGCAGGCTGTGCCCTCCTCTTAGCAGAGATTCACACCTGTGTCAGACAGGTGAGTCTGACCACTGGTTTGCTTATAGTTTTATAATTTAAACTAATCTGGCATGGAACAATAAAGGTACTAATTGTCCAGAATGGTTTTTCCACCAAGTTGAACTGTGCTGTCAGCTAGGCAAAGAAAGAAAATCTTATTTTCAACCTTGTATAAACTTTTACCGGACTGTTTCCAAGAGCAGGTTGTGCCTCAGATGAGGGCATGTTTGGGTGGGTTTGTGGCAGGTTTGGCACTGCTGGCCCAGGGGCACCCTGACCACCGGAGAATGCTGGACATGCCGCAGCTGGCAGAGACTTTGGGGCTGAGGAGGGACACAGTTCCTTGGGGAGGGACCCACCACCCTCTGTGGGTCTCCTCTCCTTTGGCAGAGAGCACCAAAAGTGCCGGGTTTAAATGGTAACATGGAAAATTCATATGGATATTAAGAAAGAGGGGAAGAGGCCAGGCCGGGAGGGCCGTGTAGTCTCCATCACCAGGTCCTTGCTCAGCGCTGGTTGGGAGCGGCGGAGGCAGAGCCGGGCTCTGTGGGGAGGGGGAGCAGCTCTGCCCTTCCTCTGGGAGCACACCAGTGGGCTGTTCCCACGGTCTTGGCAAAGGGTTGGGATTTGGGTTGTTTGGGTTTGCTGGAAGCAGGGGGAGGGCGCCTACAAAGTCACTGAAGTGTCAAGAAAACAGGGAGCCCGAGGAGCCGACGTGCCGCAAGGTCATTTCAGGTCACTTCCCTGCCAGGGAAATGCTCCCAGCAGGAGTGTCTGAGCACAGTTGGGCTTCAAAAACTAGGCAAAAAGCCCGTTATTGCTGTTCCCTGTGGCGT